TTAGGCCCTTTGATGTCCACATCTGGCACTTTCATTTCACCTTCTAGCTTGGGCACTGTCACATCCATATCCCCCTTGACTTTGGGGCCTTTCAAGTTTAAGTCCACATCAGGCATTGAAATCTTTGGGGCCTTGAAGTGCATGTCAGGCATCTTAAACTTGGGGCCCTTTAGCTTTCCTTCTGGTCCCTCGATACTCACATCTGGGGCCTCAATGTCAACTTTAGGTCCTGAGACATCGATGTTAGCCTTGGGCAGGTTCACATCCACATCTGGGCCCTCTGCTTTGAACCCGGGCATGCTGAACTTGGGCATTTTCATCTTTGGCATTTTCAGGCTCCAGTCTGGGCCTTGACCTTCCACATCTGGTGCTTTAATATCTACCTTCGGACCTTTGATGTCCACATCTGGAACTTTCATCTCTCCCTCTATTTTTGGTGCAGACATGTCTAGATTTCCTTTCATTTTGGGTCCTTTGAGATCCAGGTCCACATCTGGTAGAGACATCTTTGGAGCCTTGAAATGCATCTCAGGCATCTTAAACTTAGGGCCTTTCAACTTCCCTTCTGGTCCCTCAAGGTTCAAATCTGGAGCACTGATATCTAGCTTTGGTACAGAAATGTCCATATCAGCCTTGGGCATGTTCACATCCAACTCTGGGCCTTCTCCTTTGAGACTAGGCATGCTGAATTTGGGCATTTTAATCTTTGGCATTTTCAGGTTCCAATCAGGACCATGAATGTCAACATCTGGAGCAGTGACATCTACTTTTGGGCCTTTCAAGTCTCCTTCAACCTTTGGCACAGTGACATCAAACTCTCCTTTTACTTTGGGACCTTTCATATGCAAATCCACATCAGGCATGGAGATCTTTGGGGCCTTGATATCCATCTCAGGCGTCTTCAGCTTAGGACCCTTCAGCTTTCCTTCAGGACCTTCAATGTTCACATCTGGAGCTTTAACATCTACCTTGGGTCCTGAGACATCAATGTTGGCCTTGGGAAGATTCACCTCCACTTCTGGACTCTCTGCCTTGAAGCCTGGCATGCCAAACTTGGGCATTTTTATCTTGGGCATCTTCATGTGCCATTCAGGACCTTGAACATCCACATTTGGGACATCAATGTCCACTTTGGCACTTTTAAGTTCAACATCAGGAACTTTAATCTCACCTTCAGCCCTTGGCACTGTGACATCATATTCTCCCTTTACGCTGGGGCCTTTTAAGTGTAAGTCCACATCTGGCATGGAGATCTTTGGAGCTCTGATGTTCATTTCAGGCATTTTAAACTTAGGTCCTTTCAGCTTCCCTTCCGGTCCTTCGATGCTCACATCTGGAGCACTGACCTCCACCTTAGGCCCAGAAATGTCCATATCTGCTTTGGGCAGGTTCACGTCCACTTCTGGGCCCTCTGCTTTGAATCCTGGTACACTGAATTTGGGCATTTTCATCTTGGGCATCTTCAGGTCTAGGCCACGAACATTCACTTCTGGGGCATCAGTGTCTACCTTGAGGCCTTTCAGTTCCCCCTCAAGCCTTGGTGTTGTTACATCATACTCTCCCTTCACTTTTGTGCCCTTGACATGTAGATCTACATCAGGCATGGAAATCTTTGGAGTCTTGACACTCACTTCAGGCAGATTAATATCAGGGCCTGTAAGTTTGCCCCCGAGACTCTCCATGTTGGCACTTGGGGTTTCTATGTTGACCTTGGGCCCTGAAATACTGATGTCTCCTTTGGGTACAGTCACATCTACATCTGGGCCTTCTCCTTTGACTCCTGGGACACTGAACTTGGGCATCTTCATCTTGGGCATTTTCAAGTTCCATTCTGGGCCATGAACTTCCACATCTGGAGCACTGATATCCATTTTGGGGCCTTGGACATCAAGTTCAGGGCCTTTGATTTTCCCTTCTACTCTGGGTAGCGTGACATCTACACTCCCTTTCCCTTTAGGTGCAGCTACATTTAAGTCTACATCTGCCATGGAGATCTTACAGGTCCCTATTTTTCCAGAAGGGCTGCTGAGCTTGGGGCCTGTCAAGGTCCCCTCTAAGTTTGGTGTCTCTATACCCATTTTGGAGCCTTTAACTGCTACCTGAGGGCCTTTAACATCACCTTTCACCTCAGGAGCAGACACCTTCATATCTCCTTTCAGTTTACAGGACCCAAGGCTCAGGTCCACATCCTGCATGGAGATTTTAGGTTTCTGGACAACCATTTCAGGAGTCTTGACTTTAGCACCCTTCAGCTTCCCTTCTAACCCACCAATAGCAATCTCAGGCTGACTGGCATCCCCCGAGACCCCAGGGAGGGTCACTTCACCTGTGGGCAGTGTCACATCAATGCCAACTCCCTCTCCCTTTGAACCTGATGCAGAGAATTTAGGGACTTTCATCTTGGGCATATTCAGTTTGGCCCCTAGCCCATGAACATCAACATCAGGGCTTCCAACTTCCACACTGGGACCAGAGATGCTGCCCTCAATTTTGGAAGCACAGGCATCCATTCCTATGTTCCCCTGCAGCTTGGTACCTTTCAGACCCACATCACTCTCAAGTGATGGCCCAGTGATTTGGGGACCCTTCAGCTTCCCCCCAAGCCCCTCAGTGTTGACTTCCAGATTAGGAGCCTGGATGTTACCACCAATGGTCAAACCTGGCTTGTCGCCCTTATGTCCCACAGAGAATTCAGGTGCAGAAACACTCAGCCCTGCCTCTGGTATCTGGCCCTCCGTGCCTGCTGAGACACCAAATTTTGGCATCTTCATGGTAGGAATTTTAACTTTCCCAGCATCACCACTCTGGAGGGATGGGCCCTGGACCTCTACTGAGCCAGTCCCAAGAGAAGACGAAATGTCCACTCCTGGAACTTGGATCCCTCCTTTCCCACCCGAGTCCAAGCCTTTCGCACTGACATTGACGCCAGGGCTTCCCACCTTTATCCCAGGCACAGTGACCTGGAATTTTGATTGGCCAGCACCCTCGAGCTCTGGTCCTGGAGCAGAAATGGCACCTGCCCGGATATCCATGGCAGAGCCTGTGGTTGGAGAAGCTGCCCCCGATCCCGAGGGCAGTCTGATCACCGTCTTCCCAGACTGGATTTCCACATCTGTGTTGGAGATTTCAGTCACTTCATGCCTTGGTATCTTAATCATGAACTCGGGGCTGCTGATGTCAATGTCTTTCACTCCTTCCCGACCGGTCACATCCACAGTGTAGGCTGTGACCCTTCTGGTCACTGTGATGGTACGGCTCTGGGTCTCCCCAAGGTCCCCTTCTACTCCATCCTCCGACCTCAGGCGTGGCTTGATCTTTGTGGTATAGATGCGCTGGTAGTCCTCATCATCCCCGCTCTGCAGAAAGACATGCCCGGCAGAGGTTGCAGCAAAGCCCGCCTGAGTTGGCAGATGCCTGGCTGCAGCCCAGCCAACAGCAAGGTTGCCTGTTTCCCAAAGATGTTCAGAACATAACAGAGGTTCAGAGAGCCTCCTGGGCACAACACAGGGGACTGAAGAAAGGGGCTGACAGTCACATCACAAGAGGAAAATAGAAACCATTTGGAAGAAAATTCTGGTAAGCAAAGCTTATGGCAGGGTTAGGAAATATGTAGATTCCTGAACTGTGCTGCCCAGGAAGAGACTCTACCACCCAGTGATACTTCCAATCAACCTGTCTCAGGGACCCATTCCAACCAGGCCCTTCATTCTTCAACTCTCAACTCACTGGCTTGCTTGTTTAAGGTCTCCCAGGAGCCTTTGCACACAGGAAAGCATTTGTGAAGCCTGATGGCCTGGCTGTGTTTGGGTATGCTTTCGCTTGGAGGATACATGGTTTACTCAATAAGCAAGCCATGAGAAGTAAAGAAGCATTTCCCACATGCACTGTCTGCTCGTCCTCTCACTCATGGGATGTAGAGAGGCAGGTTGAACACCAGTGAAATCATTTCAAAGGCTCTTGTAAAGCAGCGGACCTTCCTCTCGGCGCCTAAGCCCCCACTGCTTGGGTGGGTTCCCACGCCACGGCACAGTCTCAAGAGACTGAAGGAACACGACACTTGTAAGACCAGCATCGGCCATACGCACACAACATAGTCAGGAAGAAAGCAACCGAGAGCTGTCGTAAGGGAAAGCGGAGCGATGACATAGGAAGGAACTAGCAGAGGTCCAGGAGAAACAGAAGGCTCAGGAAGTGAGGCCAGGAGGCCACCGGGATCATGGGGGAGCTCAGAGCAAAGGTGGGCCACCAGGAACTCACCAGAACCACCTCGGAGCTCCGGGAGCTGAAGACTTCATGGGTCCAGGTCTGTCCAGGCTCAGGGGAACGGTCCCCCTTTCGGTGCAGCTTCAAGCCGACCGTGTGGTGCCCCATGGTGTTCAGCAGCTGGGTCACCTCACCAGACTGCAGGTTGTCAAAGTAGATGGTGGCACCCACAATCTGGTCCCCTAAGTAAGGAAGTGCAGCGATCAGCTAAAGACCGGCAGGTCTCAAGAAAGCACCACCTAGCAAGCACTAAAACTGACTCTCCTTTGGAATATCATGCAGGTGTGGTATTGCCCGTTCATTGTACAGATGAGGAAATGGTAGCTTAAAAGGCCAACTATTTTACACAAAGCTGCAGAGTTGGTGAGGGGAGCAGAACCAGATCTGAAGACAAGGTCTCCAGGACTCCTCATAATTGCCCCCCCCTCAGATTCACAAGCAAGACATAGAGTAGGCAAAGAAGAACAGGGCTGGGGTACTGACCACGCTTATGCTGTTGGACCCAGGCCTTCCACAGCCGATTGCTTCTGCCCTGCCCTCCCGCCTCCCGTCCTTCCCTTTAGTAACCTCTCTCACCCCCAGTCACTATCTTGGGGAGACTCACCCTCTTTGACCACCCCAGTGCGGGCCGCCGGGGAGTTCTGCATCACTTCCTGTACAAAGACTCCATCGTCCCTCTGGGCAATGGTCAGCCCGTGGGAGCCACTGCCCTGCCAGTTAGGCAGCAGCAGCTCCCGGGTTGTCTCCTCTTCCTTCTCCATCTGGGATGAGGTGAAGAAACAAGAACTCTGGTCATGGGGGACACGGAGGGCAGAAGAGCATGAGAAAGCCAGAAACCTTCGGTGCTATGCACACCCCGGGAATGGAACCCAAGCGCCATGCCCTTGCTCGCTCACCTGCCAGGTGAGGGTCTCCTCGGGGAGAAGGGTGATCTGTCCCATGTTTTTCCACTGTGGAAGTTCTCCCCAATGCACAATAGAGAATATAGAAAGGGGGTAACCGGCCCTTTGACCCACCCAGGGCCAGTTCCAAATACTGCATCAAGTACCCAGCATCCCCCATGCTGACCTCCATCCCTCTGCACCATCCCACCTACCAACCTTTGCAGGACTCTGTTCAGGAGCAAATGCCTTGCCAGGAGCCCGCCCCTCCTTCTTCTCTTCTTCTGTCAGTCTCTGTCTTTTTGGGAATCTCGGTCACACAACCTAGGGAAAATTCCATCATGATGCTCACATTTGGCTTTTCAAAACCTTAGTGAGCTGCCACCCAAATGACAGAGAGATGCTTTTCCCCAGGCCAGGCCAAAATGACAGTCAGGTCCCCACTACAGTCAGCAACTCCATGACTCTGAGGCCTGTTGCCGCAGAAAACGAGGTGAAAGGAAACTTAGACCAGGTCTCCCCCACTGGCTGCATCCTCCTCGCTATAGGACTCTTGCCAAGGACACTTGACCTTCTGAACCTATGTTTCCTTGACTGTGAACATGGAAACGGTTAAGAGTTCCATACAGACTGAAAGAAGACGGCAGCTGGTCCACGGAGGTCCCAGGACACACACACCCCATTCATCGTTCTCTTTAATAGCTGGTACCACTTTATAAGCAGAGAGATTGAGACTCTGAAAGGCCAGCTTGCCTGGCGTGCACACAAAGAGAGGGATGGCGCTGATGCCAGGCTCCAGCCTGTTTCTGTGGGTCTTTCTCCTCTGCCACATTGAGTCTCCCTTTCTCACCAATGCAACTGTTCTCCAGGCACAGATGGTGCTCCCCCCACCCCGCTGACACTGGCTCCGCATCTCCCGCCTGGCCCTCAGGACCAAAGGGAACCCTTTCTAGTTGGAAGCTCCAGAAACCGTGCTCCTAGTAGTGGCCCTAAACAAAGACAACCCCAACCTACCAGGCTCCCAAACCCAAAAGACTGAAGTAAAGCTGAGCCCAGCTCAGGCCCGCGATGAGTCAAGGCCCATGTGGTTGCCCACACTGGGCCCTGAGCCAGACCCCATAGGAAAAGGCATTCCTCCTTGTCACCGGGTGAGTTTTCAGCTGCAGAGGTACCCTGGGAAGGCATCCGGAAAGATGGTAGATATAGTGATGAACCACAGCCACCCACACAAAATGGCACTGCCCGCCATCTAAAGCATACCTGTGAAATTGTATGAGGGACTCTATAAGTTGTGGTGAGCCTCACCCAAAGCCCCACCCTGAAACTGTTTACATCCAGAAATTAGTCAACCAATCAATAAATACATGCATACTGTTCACCTCCTGTATGTCCAAGTCTGTACCAGATACTGTAAAGGATACCAGGCAGGGGCAAACCCAGCCCAGCCCAGCACTTAATTGTACACTGCATTCAACTGTTACCGCCCATCACTCATGCATCCTCTAGACATTTACTGAATGCGCTCCCTGAGCCAGATACGGAAATTTAAAAGACTTAGAGGCCTGTCCCGGTACAAATGATAAGCAAGGACTCTGGGTGTGACCAGCTGGGCTCCACAATGTTCCAGAAGTCTTAAGAGGCTTCTCAGGGCAATGGAATACAAATGGGGCATCCAGGGTGCTAGAACTGGCCTCTGCGAAGGGACTGTGGCTCTTAGAAAATCCGTGGCACTTAGCAGGTCCAGTTTCAGGCCGATACCAACATGGACAAAATATAAACACAAAAGCTAAACCCCAGATCCCCACACCTGTTCTCAAACTCGACAAACTCATAAATGCAGTATTTACCAGGAGCCTGCATGACAACACAGGTGCTGGCTGGAGTGTGAGCACAGACAGGAGAGGGGCCTGCCGGCACAGGTTTGAGCGAGGGAAACACCCCCTCCCTTCCCAGCAGGCAGAAGAGGCCACCTGAAGACGAAAGTCATACTGACTCTTCCCAACTTGAAACTGGCGCCTGCTGCCCCTGCCCCGGACCAACACTGAGAAGCCAGCCTGGCGGTCAGACGCCGGGCAGAAGCAGGGAAGGTAAAAGTCTCTAGCTTGGACCTCTAAGAACCGAAGCTGCCCCTTCAGGTTTCCCCAGTACCCCTGGCTTCCTCCTGGTGCAGGGCCCCTAGCTCAGCCGCGCACCCTGGTGCTGAGCCAGCAGAGGAGAAAGAGCCAGCTCACTCACCCACACAGCGGCCCCACCCTCCCCCCTTCCACGGTGAGTCACCGCAGTCTGTAGCAACAGCTCCAGACATGCACAGGGTCACGCCTAAAACCTCGTCAACTCGATGACTCCTAGGCCAGGCCCCCAAGTACCAGAGGGCCTAGGGCTCCCCACTTCTCTAGACTGAGCCCTAGGACAAGGGTCTTTAGATGCAAAAGTACTGAGGACCAACAGGGACTTGGCATAGGCTACCGAGAGGAGACGTAATTCTGCAAAGTTCTCAGCCACTGAGAACAGGAACCACTGGATTCATGCTATAAAGTTTGGCCCTGCTCAGCTCTGTTATCCTGACACAGTCAGGAAGGGGTCCCTTCTTATCAAATCTAGGCCTGAAAGGCATGGGATGCATAGGAGAGGTGAGAGGCCATGGTGGGAGCGGCCTTGTTTTCGGCTTCTGGGCCCCAGCTCTTGGTCAGTCCTCCACCAAAGGAGCCTGTAGCAAGCCCAGATGTGGCTCCCTCCCCTTCCACATAGTCAGGCCTCCAGGGAAATCCAAAAGAAGGTCTTTGGGGGTTGGGGGAATTCTTCACAATTCACTCATCACAAGCCTTTGGGGCTTGAAGAGAGTCAAATGTGTGCTCCCAACATGGTGGTCACTTACGGCTATTTAAATTGAAATGGATTAGTCTGGCATAGTGATACACACCTATCATCCCAGCACTCAAGAGGGCAAGCAGGAAGGTCTAGAGTTTAAGGGTGGCCTGAGCTACATGAGAACCTGTCTCCAAAAGCCAAAAATAAAATAATTTTAGGCAGATAGTTAAATTATTGTGGTATTTTCCCCCTAGGGAAAAAGGATGAGCTCAGAACTCTTGCTGCTCTTCCAAAGAGCCTGAGTTCAGTTCCCAGCAGCCACGTCAGGCGGCTCACTACCACTTAGAACCCCAGCTCCAGGGATCCCATGCTCTCTAGCCTCCATGTACGCCTCCACATATGTGGCATACACAGGCCCATAAGTGTACACATAAATAATTAAATTTCCTTTTGCTGTTGTTGATGTTGTTGTTGTTGTTTTTGAGACAGGGTTTCTCTGTGTAGCTGCCTGGCTGCCAGGCCGGCCTCAAACTCAGAGATCTGCCAGCCTCTGCTGGGATTACAGGCGTGTGCCACCACCACCTGGCTTAAAGTCATCAGTCCTTTTTTTTTTTTTTTTTTTTTTGAGACAAGGTGTCACTATGCAGCTCTGGGTGTCCCAGAACTAACTCTGTAGACCAAGCTGTCCCCAAACTCACAGAGATCTGCCTGCCTCTGCCTCCCGAGTGCTGAGATTAAAGGTCTGCACCACTATGCCAGGTGCTCCCAATTTAAAATTATTTTATAATTGTTTATGTTCACATGTATGTGCATGTGTGTATGTGACTGCAGTGCTCATGAGGCCAGCGGTGTCAAACCCCTCTGGAACTGAACTTACAGGCGGTTGTGAGTGGTTCACCGTGGGTGCCGGGTGCCTGAACTTGGGCCCTCTCAGACAGTACTCGCTCTAACCACCAAGCCATCTCTCCAGCCCTGTGGGGTCTTTTTTTCCCCCTTTTGTGTTTTGGTTTTTTGAGATAGGGTCTCATATTGTCCAAGCTGATCTCAAACTTGCTGAGTAGCTGAGAATGAATTCAAACTT